GTCGTGTAGACGTGATGTTCTTCTAGAGAGAATGGCAACTTTTTTCCAAAACCCTCCTTCTCCCCGTTTAAAAATGCCACGCAGACGCAGCAAAATTTGAAAAGCAGGAAACACTACGGCACGGCGTGGCATTCCCGTAATAAAAGATAAACCCGAGGGTCGTTCAACAACGCGTACCCTTTTTCCTTCCGTTTCACGCTTGCTTCGCATCTAAGCCAACAAACAAAACCAAACCCAAACGCCCCCTTTCCTTCTTCTTCCTCTCACCCTCTCCGTTAAGTACAGCAGAAGAACGAGGCCTCAGCGTTCTTCTTCTTCTGCGCCTTCTCTCTCTCTCTCTCTCTAAAACCCTAACCCTCGCTCCTTTCTCTCTCCTCGCCCGCCACGTCACCAGCGTTGCTCCTTCTGCTGCGGTTGTGGTTCCGGCGATGGGACAGCAATCGTTGATCTACAGCTTCGTCGCTCGCGGCACCGTCATCCTCGCCGAGTACACCGAGTTCACCGGAAACTTCACCGGCGTGGCGGCGCAGTGCCTTCAGAAACTTCCTTCCTCCAACAACAAGTTCACCTACAACTGCGATGGCCACACCTTCAACTACCTCGTCGATAACGGATTCAGTAACTATTTCTTTTTTCTCTCTCTCTCTCTCTCTCTATATATATATATATTATCTTGTTGCGCTGATCTGTTTCCATTTTTGCTGCGTCTGTTTTTGGAGCCGGATTCGGCGCGTTTACGCGTTCGCGCAGCCGTGAACCTGCGCCGTTGGATGAAGATCGGGCGGTTCAAATTGCGGATGCATGTCTGAATTTGAATTTTCGAGATGAAATATGATTCGTCCGATCTTCGTCCAACGGTGTTCGTTATTTATTGATCTGCGTGCAAAGAAATCGTACGGGAAAGGAAACAAAGAAGTAGCGTTCGGTTTTCGGTGTACGGCGTGCTTTGCTTGGTTTGATTAGGTTAATGCTCGGGATCGAGCTTTGTTTTTTCATTGTCGGAATGTGAAACGAAAGGGAGGTGGAAAAGGAAGCAGTTAAAGTGAATTTGTGTGATTGAGAATTGGATTGTTGCATTGTTGTGTTTATAGGCATATTTAATAGTTTCCATCTGATGTATATGTTATGCTACATACTAGATTATGACATAACATTTCTATTTTTAGAAACATTATTTGCGGATAGGAAAGAAGATTGAGGGATATTTACCTGTTTTGATAGCTATTGAAGAGGTTGATCGAGGAAAACTTTATAATTTTGCAAGGATTGTAATAGAAATCATGTTTGTTCCGTATATAGACTACATGGAATTATAAATGACTAATTCTGGCCATATTTTTTGTAGTTTTATAGTGTTTTTTTGAAACTTGTTGATTTCTCTTATACTTTATTCTATTTTTGACTGACGTAACTAACTAAATGCCTTCTGAATGTTGTAGCTTACTGTGTTGTTGCGGTAGAGTCTGCTGGACGGCAGATTCCAATTGCTTTCCTTGAACGAATCAAGGAGGATTTTACCAAGAAATATGCTGGAGGAAAAGCAGCAACAGCAGCTGCTCAGAGTCTCAACAGAGAGTTTGGGTATGTATGTGTGCTGCAAATTTCTAATGCTGTTTTACTACAATGACATCAATTATTGTGAAATGTTTGTTGTTCTTTAGACCCAAGTTGAAAGAGCAGATGCAGTACTGTGTTGATCACCCAGAGGAAGTTAGCAAGCTTGCTAAAGTGAAAGCTCAGGTTTCAGAAGTCAAAGGAGTTATGATGGAAAATATTGAGAAGGTAAAGGAATTATCTTATCTTCCCTCTTGCTTGGATGCTATGATGCAGATATTTATCTTTTTGTTGTGGGTTGGTTGAGTGTTTCCCGAGGCTAAAATTTCCCATTAGTGCTAATTTTTCTCTGGTAGGCATAGATCAATGGGATTGAGATTGAATTTAAACTTGTATAATCTCATAATTTTTTGACTGAGAAGTTGCTGCAACGTTTATATCCTATTTGGCAGGTTCTTGACCGTGGGGAGAAAATTGAGCTTTTGGTGGATAAAACAGAGAACCTTCGCTCTCAGGTGTCACTCTACACCTGTCTCTCTTTAAAATTGATTATATACGTGGACCAAAACCTTTCCCCCATAGACCCCCCTTTTTTTATTTTATTAGTGTTATCAATGGTATAGAAGTAATTATATATCTTAGACATGGGCATCATCTACAAACTGACGCATGAATTGAATACTAATTTTCTGTCTAATTCAGCAATTTGAGGAAACTTCAAACATAGTAGTAATTTTCCGTCTATATTCACCAATTTGGACAGATGCATCACAACCCAAACATTAGTTATTAGACAAGAGTATTTTTATCACAGAACAATATATCTACTTTGTTATGTGTGGTTTCTCACATTTCACATTATCAGATATTTTTAAGGAGAATTTTGTGCATGTTATACTAGGTTAACGAGAGAATTGGTCACTAAGATAAAACCAATTTACTTAACTACCCTTTGATGTGTGTATGTTATCTGAGTATTGTGAGATGTAACACTTTCTAACATTGAATTTGATTCATATTATGCTTGCACTGACTTTCTTGTTAGAGCAATTAAAATGTCAATGGTTTTTCTTCCTTACACATCATTGCTTATATCTTTCTTGTGCCTCTTGGACTTGGTTGATTTTTCAGGCTCAAGATTTCAGGCAGCAAGGAACCAAGATTAGGAGAAAGATGTGGTTCCAAAACATGAAGATAAAGCTAATCGTTCTGGGTATCATAATTGCGTTGATTCTCATTATTGTTCTTTCCGTTTGTGGTGGCTTCAACTGTGGTAAATGAGTCTTCACACGTTCTGGCTTCAACTGTGGTATTTGTCTCCTCACTCGATAAGATTGCAATTGCTTCTACTGTCGACATAGTGCTTTTGACATACATTTTGGGATTTATATTCTTCCGATTTCTACAATGATCAAATTGTATGGCATTGCTTGTATAGTGTGTAATGCTTTAGTCTTTTCTCAACTTGTCTTTTATAGCGTAATATTAATCTGCCATTCTCTATAGTGTAGGTGGGAGTTTCACCATTTGGTCTTGAGGATCATGCTGTTATATTTATGCTTACATATTAAGAAACCAACCATTATGTAGTTGAGCTTCCTATTGCCATATTTTTTGTTAGATGAGATAATTCGCGCATTTGTATGTCAACATCTATCCGTTTTCTCGCGTATGTGCTAATTTTAAACGCTGGTGCTTTGTTTTAACTCATTAATTTTTAATTCATTCATTTGAAATGCTCAAATTAACTCGATGTGTTTGGTTACTTATGTTGCAATTTTATTTATAAGTTTTACATTGATAATATATAAATTAGGAGTCTAATTTTCATTTACTATTGCTGTCAATTTTGTTTTTCATATACTATAAAAATGATTTATTTTTTGCTTTATCAACTAATTAAAATTGAAGGTATATAGGTAACTATTACAAAATTTAATAATGTATCATACGTAACATTGTATAATTTAATGAATATAAAAGACCTTTAATTGTCATGCATTTGGACTAATTACAGAATTTAATAGTTTTATCATACGTAACATTATATAATTGGACTCTATTATTTGGTCATTCTATGATTCTCGATATGAAACACTGAAAGGGGCCTAATGATGGGGACGTTATTTTCCAAATCCTTATCAAATGAAAGGTCATTTGACTTTAAGATGTGACTAATGATTGAGGGGGAATTGCCGGTTTTATTCCCAGTTCTATTTATTTATTAATCCTTTTAGAATCGAGATAGTCCGTGAGAAAGAAAGGGGAGGGTGCGCACATTAAAACTCACCTTCCACGCACCCCTCCCCTCTTCAACTACACCAAACATGGTATTAAGGGACGCGAAGGGAAGAGGTGAGGTGATAGGGAAGAATAGAATTTTGAGAATGTCAAAAAATCCAAAAAAAAAAAAAGGCTGTAAAATGAGTGTGAATCTTTGATGAGAGAAGTGAAAAGAAAATCATGGGTAGTTATTATTGAGATGGATATATTTTTTTTTCACACACATCTTCTCATTTCTTCTTTAAGAGATACATTAGTAAAAAAAAATTAGAAAATAAGATAAGAATATTATTATTTTTCAAAAAGTTATCATCAAAAGAATATACTTTTTTTTTTATATATATTATATATATCTCGCGATGTGAATGGGAAATTCTTGTTTTTTAATTTTTTTTTTTTTAAATTACGGCGACAGAATTAGAGCTCAGAATTTGTAAAATATACTCGAACCTCCGACCAGTGTGGATGGTGAGTGATCCTTTAAAACGTTTAACCTGACTGAAGCTTGACTTACTCTTTAAATGGCCACAAACTACCTTAGAATTATAAATTATCCTGAACAACCCAACTAATGTCTTTTGGGAAGGATCTTCAGCCCGCAGAACCGCACTTTGGCAGGCAACTCCAATAATGGTGCACGCGTGCTAGTGGCTATGCCACCAAGCGTTTGAGCTCCACCACTTACTTCTAGTGACTCTTTTCTGCTTATCCAAATGCATCTTCTTTTGACAAATGTAGCCCAGATAGTAAACCAATATCATGGACACAGATAATGACAACTGAACAAATGTGAGAAAATTGAAGTGGTAGTCAACCAAAGTGGGGATAAGAAGCATTGCACCATCACCTTTTCAATTATACACCCGTGAAGCCGTGGAAAAGCTACCTTGTACCCAAATCCATTTTATTCATGGTTCTCTTCCCATGTACCCCACTCTTGGGACATTTTGTACACTTGTACGACAAAGCAAATATTTAAGTGCTGCCTAATACAATTTTTGGCCTGAAATACAAGTGAAAAATAAAAATAAAAATTCAACTGCAAGACTCTTGAGCTTATTAACCCCTCATCCATAAGTTGTCAAAACTGATTCATAAGGATAATTGCCGGATTGTCCATTCCAAGTTTCCAACAGTGTTCCTAGCTAGTCTAAACTTATGCTGGTACGTCACATAAATTACAGCACGCCAAATGTTTAAAACAAACCATGTTCCTTAAGAAAGCAGGTGCCTTGCGCTGGCCTTTGTCCTTGGGATAGTTTTGCTTGAACAAAACCATATCAATAAAATTAATCTTGAAAAACGAATAGTTGAACCTTCAATCCCATGTTTTGCAGTCAGTAAACTTCAATCCTCCCCTCACATTCATGGAAGTGTTATTCATCAATCAGTTGACCTCTTGCATTAAATAATACATGCACGAATTCTACTTAAAAAGGAAACTAAGCAGTTCACGGATTCCTTGTAGTGCCATTGATAGCAGTTCTCTTGGAATGCATGATGAGGTAAAATGCATTTACAAGTAATAATGCATGGCTGGCAGGAAAAGAAAAGAAAATATCTGTCACGACCTATAACCATGAACTCTTAGAACTGCTAAGCATGTGATTCGAACTATTAAGCATGTGATCCTTGTTTGAGATGACAGAAAGTTAGAATAAACATCCATTCACAAGTTGATTTCCATGTTGTCTATAAGCCTGACTTTCCCAAACCATGCAGCAACACAGAAGACAACAGGACTCTTGATCTGTTCCACTTTCTCCAAATTATTTTGATCAACAATCTGCAGCAGGTAAAAGTATTCTTGCATTAAAACAATACCTTCCATTATTCATAACATCTAATTCTGTATTGTTTTGGAAAGCCATACATCACTGCCAAAGTAACTTTGGAATTAATTTATTAATTCTGTGCTTCCAAAGGAATACAAAGAGTTTATAAGAAACTCCAAATTAAACACAGAAAAGAAAGATATTTAACATTTCACCTCAGCGTAATCAATCCTTCCACCTGCATCAGTAATACATTTGATGACCAAATTTCTCAACTTCTCACAATGCACCTGACCATCTTTTGCTGCTGATTTAGCTCTTAACAATGATTTATTTATTGATAGTGCCTGAAAAGGATTGAAAGAAATCATTGTTACTTAGCTGTAGACAGAAGGCAAAGTATGCCAGCAATGTATTAAGCTTTGTAACATAAATTTCACATTATCATCATCATCATTCACATAAGGTTTAAAATTAAATATCATTGCTGGCTTTAAGTAATTAAAAGATATTCGAATAAAATACCTTTTCCCTCTCTTCAGGTGAAAGGTGCACATTACGTGAACTCATTGCCAAGCCATCATTGTCACGTGTTATTTCAGCACCTATCACTTGTATGGAAAAATCAAGATCTCGAACCTACACAATAACAAAATCAATCAGTTTGTCTATGTGAACCTACATCTAAGAACAGTGATAAGCATAGCATCAAACATATCTGGTAGGCAATGTTAACTTCATTGATGTTTCATGAGGTGACATTGTGACCAGAACTAGGTATGACATTAACAGTAAGTAATGATATAATTTCCATTACCCTAGTGTATATTAAGAAGAAACAGAAGGACTAAAGAGACCCAAGGACTACATCCCTTCCATGATCTGAAAACCAGTGGGAATAACATTCCCTATCGTGGAAGAATCAGAGGAATCAGAGCTAGTGGAAATAGTTTTCCATGATAATGGAATCCCTGTGTGACCGGAAGAGGGAAAGTCAAAGATAAATTTGTAAAGGAGGTTGGGATAAAAGTTGGTGGGTGGGGGTGGTGGATGGAATCATGGAAGAGAGAAGTGAGAATTGAGTGTAAAGGGAAAAGAGGGGTATCGAATGCCCTCATATGCTGTACTATCTTCCTATTTTTTTTTTCTCAGTTTTCTTCATTACTTCTGGGTGCTAGCTACTGATCCAGAAAGGAGTATTTGTTATACAGAACACTATTAGTTACTGATACCATATCAACATCACGAATAGAAATGAGGGATTTTGATAAGAAACTTGGGAAAATCAAACCATAAAAGCTAGCCATTGTAAATGGAGAGTCACAGGCCTTATAAACACAACACTAGAATCCCATACTTTCAATGTGGGACTCGAGTACCATACCGTGCAATTGGATCCTAACAGATATGCAATAGGAGATTAATCATACAGTACCTGTTTCTCCAATATCCTATCATCTGATATCAGAGCTCCCAAGAGAATAAAAGCATGCGTGCATTATTGGAGATGGTAAGAATAATATTCCCCGTAGCAAATCAGAAGCATAAGAGTTGGGAGAAATAACATCCCCAGTGATAACAGAATGCAGACAAGGCATGGAAAGAGGGAAGCAGGTAATAGTGAATTTTAGAGGTTAGGATAAAGGTGAGAGGGGGGATTGGAAGAGAGACAAGAACTGAGTGGAAAAGGTAGGGAAA